ATTGCTTGGACTTGCTGTCTCATGTCTTCTCTAATATTCCATTCCATCTGAATTAGGTATGCCTTGAGTTCTTTCCCTATCCATGTTTCTGATGCTTCTAGGTCCTCCTGTAGATTTAAGTTGTCCTGCATTGTTTGTAATCCTTTTTTCCCTTGTTTGTTCATGTTGTTCACGTTACTTTCCAGCTCTGTTTGATTGCTGTGTTTCTGCTCTCTCRTGCTAAAGTGGATTCCGCTGGGAAGGAATTCCGTAGGCCGAACTCCAGTGACATCACCTCTCTGCTATGGCGGGCCCCAGGCTCTTTGCCGTGGTGTCCGAAGGGAGGGGTGGGACTGGTCTGTCTCTGGTTGGTTTCAGCTCCAAGTTGGCTACTTTATGAAGGCCTAGCTATAGACCTCTTCCTAGAGTCTCTGCGCCGTACCTGCTGGGCCGCACCTCGGAGTCTAGCCAAGCAGTCGCAGCGGGCAGGCGGTCTCCAGCCGCCCAGTTGTGTGGGCTGCGGGCGGTCACCTGTGGGCGGGCAGTCTCTAGCCGCCCAGTCGCCAGGGCCTGGCCTCTTGTCCCCTGGCTTCTCCTGCTAGCCCTGGCTTCTCTTGCTAGCCTGGCCTTCCCCTGTGTGATGCCTCTCGGCAGTTCAAACTGTACTCTGGGCCTGCAGTTTGCTGGGTGTGGAGGGTGGCTATTGGGAACTAGCACCCTATTGTTTTGATTTTTTCCGCTTGTCCCTCCCCCAGAGCTGGCAAGACAGGTTTCGTTTTCACTGCTGATGGGAAGGGGAGTTGGAGGTCAGATGTCTCTACCTTTCCTCGCGTCTCTATGCAGGCTCGTTCTGATAATCCCTCCCCCAGAAAGCCTGGGAGAGATTTTATGCAAATTACCCGCTGTATGGTAGATGGGCTGAGTAACACACACCTGTTTTATTGTTGCAATCTGTCGGAAACTGGCGGTGGTGACGTCAGCTCTCCAAGATGGTGGCTGCTGGCTTCCTTGGTGGACTTTCCATTGTGGGGGATAGAACTGGACCGCTTCCTTCCCCGTCTCAAACCCCGGAGCTCAGTGAGGGCCCAGCCAGCAGGACTCCACAGAATCCGTAGCACTGTTTCTCTCTGCTTGCTGGTTACTTCTTGGCAGCACCCCCGCCATCTGTAGCCGAGGGGTGGGCCGCATGGCAGGCGACGTGATGATCGGCAGATCAGTCAGCCTGGTTCTCCGGTCGCACAGTTGGCTCACGTTTGAAACTCAATAATCAGTCCTCGGTGATGGAAATCTTTGCTCTAGGTTTCGGTGCACCCCAATTTTGCTGTAAATTCCTAACAAGATAGCTTTTTGTCATTCTAACTCGTTATTCACCTGTGCAGTGACGCGATACATGGGGTGTGATGCACTCTATTCATGGCCATCTTGTTCCTATCTGAAATGGACTAAAATATATAGAGCAATTAGAAAATAAAATGAAAGGGTTAAATTCTGACTTATCAATGATAACCTTGAATGCATAAACAAATTAAATTTCCTAGTCAAGAATATAGAGTGGCTGAATGGGTTAAAAAAAAACAAGAGCCAAATATATGCTGCCTATAAGAAACTCACTTCATCAAATAATACATAATTAAAAGTGAGAGGCTGGACAAAAGATATTTCACACAAGTGAAAACCAAAAGGGAGCTGGAGTAGCTACATTTATATAAGATAAAATGGACTTGAAACCAACACTATAAAAAGAGATAAACAAGGCAATGATAAAGGGATCAATTCAACAGAGTAAATAAGAACTAAAATATATATGCACTTAATACTGGGATATCCAATTATATAAAGCAAATATTATTAAATCTAAAAAATAAAGTGACAGACTTCCATACAATAATAGCTGAGGACTTCAGCACCCCACTTCCATCAACGAACAGATCATCCAGACAAAAATAATCAACAGAGAAATGTTAAAGTCAACCTAATAGACATTTGCAAACCATTTTATCCAACAGCTGCAGAATTTACATTATTCTCATTAGCACATGGAACATTTTCCAGGATACATAATATACTATCCCACAAAACAAGTCTCAATAACTTCAAAAAATTAAAATCATAGCATGTATCTTCTCTGATTACAATGGAATAATGATAAGTCAACAAGAGGAACTTTAGAAGTTATACAAATACATGAAAACTAACATGCTGTTGAAGTATCAATGGATCAATGAAGGAATCAAAAAATAAACTGAAGTTTCTTAAAACAAATGAAAGTGAATATAAAACCTACCATAGGGCTGGGGATGTGGCTTAAGCGGTAGCGCGCTCGCCTGGCATGCGTGCGGCCTGGGTTCGATCCTCAGCACCACATACAAACAAAGACGTTGTGTCCGCTGAAAACTAAATATTAAAAAAATTCTCTCTCTCTCTCTCTCTCTCCCTCTCTCTCTCTTTTTCTCTTAAAAAAAAACCTACCATAGCCTGTGGATTACAGAAAAGCAATATTAAGAGGAAAGTTTATAGTAATAAGCACCTAAAGCAAAGAGAGAGAGAGAGAGATTTCAAATAAACAAACTAAACATGCAACTCAAGAACTAGAAAAGCAAGGAAAAACCAAATCCAAAATTAGTAGAAGGAAAGAAATTATAAAGATCAGAGGGGAAATAAATAGAGACTAAAAAAAAATACTCAAGATTTGGGTTTTTGAGAGGGTAAACAAAATCAACAAACCTTTAGCCAGAATACCTAAGAAGAAAACAAAGAATACCAAATAAATACAATCAGAGATTCAAAGGGAGAGGTTACAACTGATACCACAGAAATATAAAGGAATATTAAGACTATTATGAACAACTATATGCCAACACTTTGGAAAACATAGAAGAAATAAATGAATTTTGGGCCACATATAACCTACCAAAATTGTACCATGAAGACATAGGAAATCTGAACATAAAAGTAGCAAGCTTCTGGATTAAACCAACCAGTAAAAGTATACCAACAAAGAAAAGCCCAGGAGCTGATGGCTTCACTGCTACTGCTAAATTATCCAAACTATTTTTTAAAAAGCTAATGCTAATTATTCTCAATTATTCAAAAAAAAATGAAAAGCGGGGAACTCTACCAATCACTTTCTATGATGTCAGCATTACACTGTTCATAAAACCATACAAAGACAAAAAAAAAAACTACAGATCAATATCCATGATAAATACAGCAAAAATCCTCAACAAGATATTAGCAAGCCAAATCCAACAGCATACCAAAAACATACATCATGATGAAAGTGGGATTATTCCAGGGATGGAAGAATGGCTCAGCATATGCATATCAATAAATGAATGAATATTCAAATTTTCATTCTCATACTTTAGTTAGCTTTTATTCTCTTATTGATTTTATTTTAAATTGATATAAAATATTTGTACTTATTTTGAAGTCCATAATTATAATTTGATGTATATATAAAATATGTAATTATCAACTAAGGATAATTAAACATTTCCATCTCCTCAAATATTATCATTTATATGTGTTGGAACATTCAAACTCATCACTTATAATTCTTTGAAAATGAATAATTAATTCTTATAGACTATAGTTACTCTACTGTGTAATAGGACATTAGAACTATTTTCCTCTCCAACTATATCCCTTCCAATTTGTTCTCTACCCTTTCTATATCTCCCCTTCCTATCTCCAGTGACCTCTGTGCTACCCTCTAGTTCTATGTGATCAACATTTTTAGCTTCTATTGAGTGAGATCATGCAGAGTTTGTCATTCTGTGCCTTTCTTATTTTATGTAAGATAATATTTTCTAGCAGTGTTGATTGGAACATATTTTGGAAAAAACACTTTATGAAAATCAATTTTTCAATTCTATTTCTTGTAAATATCCTAAGAAAAAAATTAGAAGTATAAAGAAGTTTAGACAAAAATATTCATATGTATATTAGTGAAAATTTGGAAACAATCAAAATAACAACAATATCAAATGACTTATATAAAAAATAGTAAAATAGAAGCCCTCTTATTTAGCCTAGTCAAATCCATTAATTGATTGATTAATAGAAAAAATTTTGAGAGGGAACRCGGACAGGACCCACAGTAGGACAGGGCCGGCAGCTTGCTGAAGGGCAGGCCCGTCCCCTCCCCCAGTGTCTGCAAGGTAGGCGGGACCCTGACCAGCGGCGGATGGCCCCAGCGGCCTGCTGAGGGGTGGAACCGGCCCCTCCCCCAGTGCCTGCAAGCTA